ATTCAGATGGTCTCGGGTTCGATGCTCGGCCCGGCACTGCCTTTGACTGCCGAGATGAGTTCGTCGTTATCTCGTCTCCGGCTCGTCGCAAAGGTGTACACTTTCTCGACGAGCAGGAGACGAGGGAAGGCGACAAAGAGACGAAACTGACGGATTCTGTGGTCTCGTTCTCGTCTTTCCCTCACCTTTCCCTCGTCTCTTCCAAAAGACGATAAAAAGACGAAATTGAGCTACACCGTTCTATACGGGCCGCTACCACCCCCCCACCCCTCTAGTGACGGTTAGACGACAAGGTTTGAATTGATTTGCGGCCGCTTGTCTACGCAACCGGCCGGTAGAGGGCGCGTCGAGCGCGCCACTTGAATTCAAATTAGGATGTACTGGATGTATTTCGCCACCGAATTCGGTGTTGTACATGTCCGCACTTGTGTTCATAACTCGCGCTCATATCATATGACCTTATAATGACACCCCTCACTCGGATCGCGGCGGGCGCGGCGCGGGGATGGCGCGGCGGAACCCGGCTACCTCCTCGGGCGGGGCGGATCGCGGCGCGGCGGAACCCGGCTGCCAGCTCGGGCGGGGCGGATCGCGGCGCGGGCAGCCACCTCGGGCGGGGTGGCTCGGACGGGTCCGGCGGGGCGGGCCCCGAGGCCACCGCGGACTCGTCGACGGCGACCTCCCCGACGGCGACCTCCTCACCCGGGCGGTACGGTCCCGGTGCGCGGCCCCCGAGAACATCGCCACCCTCCTCATCGCGAACCTCATCCCGGTCACGATGGTGACCCCACAAGACATGTCAGAACATGTTCAGGGGGCGGTCCTCATGGGGATGGGGGTAAAATCCAAGATGGCGCTGGGGGGGACAATGGGGGAACAAGATGGCGGGGGGGGACATTGAGTATACCTTACTACTAACATGTGTTATTAAAATTAAGATGAATTTTTTTTACAGTGTTTAACATTATACTTCGGTTTCAATACCTGCAATTCATAAACAGAAATGTAACAAAATAGTACACAAAAACGCAATACATATGTTTACAACAATGCTGTATCCCTGCTTATAGTCAGTCTGCTCATAATCCTGTTTTGTACTACTAGCGCCCTCTATGCTTTCTGTGAATACTGTGACCATCGTTTACCTGTGCTTTGCACCCACTCAATAATGTCACTCCTGCTCGTACCGCCCAATAAACTAGAGTTAGCCCAGCACGTCTACTACTACTACCCACACTGATATACGACGTCACACACAACACCAAAACTCAATCTTGAAGGGATGAAAACAGAGATAAATTACACACTAATTACAAACAAGCACGGCAGCATCAGTAAAGAAAAGTAAACAGTTATACAATACAAAGGCAGAGGCTGAAAAACACCCAGCATGCCCCACGTTGGGCGCCATTTGTCACGGACTCAATTTAAAGATGTGGATTTTTAAGAAACAAATCGTTGAGCTGGGTCACTAGCTGGGGACCACATTGAGCCGGACAAAATTTGAAGAATTAAGTTAATATAATTTAAGGAAAAACAATGTTGCTACAGTGCAGGAAGAAGTAATTTAATGTAATGTTTTTAGACCTATTAAACTACAACAAATACAAAAGATACAACACAATAATATAACCGTCTTGCAGTAAGCACATCCAAATCAGGTAATGACTAAAACCGATCCAAACTATGAAAGTAACGTACACAACGATTTACACTAAGTAAGGACGTTTGAGCTAAATGCACAATACACATCATACAAGCGATGCTTGGTATAATTAAGTTGACAAACAAATTACACGGTAACAAGACCCAAATGAATTTGATCACTCTCAGAGAGAATACAACACAATGCCGAGTGCTACTCACAACTAAACGGCAGTCAAGCTTAAACCTTTTGAAAACCCTTCATACAAGCGAAGTTGACATTGGCTGATTAACACATTTAAACAAATGAACAGCACAACACAAAGGAAAGCTCCTGTTACAAACCTCCATACAAGCGGAGTACAAAATTAGGAAAACACTGCAAGACTGAAAAGGATAAACTGGGCCCAGACAAGAACACGTGACGTCACACAAACATTTCACACTCACATACAGACAGCGAGCAGTTCGCCCACTACATCAAGTCCAAGGGGGGGCGCTCGTAGAGCCAAACGCGACCGAGTCGCAGAGCTTGACGGTCTTCATGGCGGTGGTGGCGGCGTGCATGCCGGAAGGCAGACTGAGAGACAGCTTAGCACATGGCTATCTTGACCAGGACGGGCCGTTCAGGGGAAGCTCCAGTCCCGGACAAAACACCCTGTCGAAACATGTACTATGAGGCTCAGCTCAACTTCACAGAAACGCCCAGCCGGACGACTCCCGTCGTCAAACGCACCTTGCGGGTGTTACAGATCGGAGACGTCATGTCGATAGCAGCAGCAGACGAAGTGAACACGCTGACGGACTGACGACGATTGACTCTTCAAGGTCAGCGGAGCGGAGAACGCCGCCGTGCATCAACGCCGTTCTTCTTCCCAATCTTTGCCGCACCGCTGGCCGAGGGAACGCAAGGCTCAGAGGTGGAGGGGGGGGGG